AAGAGTTCACTACGAATTCTCGTGTGGTTTGTAGCATGTAAAAAGAATGGAGCACACCCATGAGTCGATTATACTCTGAGCACACACTATGCCCTGAGTTTCCATGGACTTATGAATGGAATGTTCCCCAGGATCTCAACTCAAAGTGGCATCTGGCACGGGGCACCGCTTCCCAGGCCAACCCTTTGCTTGTCCGGCTGCCCTGCCCCACCCCCAAACAAGTTTCCAAGTCCAAGTGTACTCAGTGTTCCCTATTCTCTCCACCTTCCAATGGAACAGTTGAATGGAAAAGCAAAGCAGACCACGACAAAAAAAACAACAACAAACTAAGGCCACTCTCTTTAGGAGCCCTGGATGATTTGCATGGCAGTCTAATGGAGAGAAGTCGAAAGGAGAGTTTGGAAATATCCCCAAACAATTTAATAGGACCTGGCTACTTTCTGAAGCCTACACCTATAGGCACCCTCCAAAGATGGAACTAACAAGGCTCAAAGGGAACACATCCACTGAAGTGGAAGTCCAATATTGCCTTAGCATGTAGAATCATGTAGAATCACAAAAATACCTTCTAGGCTCTCAGCCATATCCACAAGAATTATCACAGACATCTAGCGCGCACCTATTAAGTTTTAGGCACTGTGCTAATTATGGAGAACACAAGGCAAAGACACGGCTCCATGTTTAAGTTGTATTTACATTGTGCTCCAACTTATTTTTAGTGACACATAACCTAAGGTTGTAAGATGATGTTTAAGTGCAAAGAAATGATACAACACACATTTCAATACAGTAGTCACCTCCAGGGAGCGGGGGGGGGGGGGGGGGCGGGAGAGAGACAGAGAATAGGATCTGGGTGAATCCATAGGCAGATGGTAATTCTTAGGGTGGAACTTTATTATACTGCATAGTTTACATATATATCATCTTTGTGCATCACATTATATATATTTTTAAAAGAAATAGGAGAAACATCAAAAATTAGTTTTAAGTAAAAGATGATAAAAGGAGAGAGAGCAGGGGAGGGGAAGGAGAGAAAGCATGTGCATGATTCATGTCCTAGAGGGGCTTTTTCACTATGATCCATGTCATATAGAGGTGACTTTTCCTCTACTTTTCTAGAGAAAAGTCACCTGAAAGAGTTTTTAAATATAACATGGCAGCCATAACAAAAGAATTTTGAAAACTCCAAGGGCAGAGCACTTAACAGCAATAGCATGCTAAGTTCAGACCCCCAATTGTCTTTTCACTTTAAAAACCTAGTTTTACCCTTTTTAAGCGCTGACACAGCATTGCTTCCTCTGGGCGGCTTCCCAGAGCCCCAGAGCTGGGTTCCATGGTCCTCGTCTGCGCATGCACAGGACCCGCAGGTGCCACAGAAGCACACGGCACAGGCACAGGGAGCCCCTGGGTTCCTGTGGTGTGGCTCACTGCCAGGCACACGCTATGTGTTGGAAAAACAAACGAGGTGCATTACTGGGCTCAGTTCTGTTACATGATGGCTGAGAAAGGGAAGGAGGGGGGGGGGGGAATGCTAAGTTGGAGAATCCCATCCAAAGCTCAAGAATGCCCAGCTTAGCACAGAGGAACCCCTTGCTGTCCCTGGCAGGCTGGGCTTGGCAGGACACCAGACGAGGACGACCGCCTGCAGGCCCCAAGCCTTGCTCTGTAGGCACTAGCGCTTCTCAGCCCACAGTTTCCCTTCTTCCTTCCCTTCTCCCACCACCTGGGAGGGGAAAGCATTGGATGTCAGGCAGCAACCCAGTATCAGGTTCAGGCACAGCCTCTCAAGAACAGTCAGGCTTGCCAGTCGCCTCGGCAGCAATCAGATCTTGCTGGCAGAGGCTGGCAGAGCCTGACTATCTCAGCCACAGGGATGAGGAAAAGAAGCCAAAGTCTCGGGAAGATCCAGTTTCTCTGAATAACGCCACCACCCAAGACAAGGGGCCCCCCTCCCTCCGAAGCTGCCATGAACGGACACCCTCTGCCCGAAGGGATATGCCCCACAGCCCAGGACAGCAGCACCCAGCACCCAGCACCTAACAACCACGTGACCCCCGGGCACCATCAGACCATGTGCCCGTATGACAGCAGCCGTGAGAGGAAAGTGGGGCACGATTTTGGTCAAAGATCCGTAGAGGAAAGGTAAAAGGTCACCAAGGCGGTGGGATGTTGCTAAGAATTTAACGTTGACCTTGAAACAAGGCTCATTTTATTTCTAAGTACGTTATCTGAGTGAAACTGCACTTGAAGTCATGTTTAGCAAAATATATTTAGTATTTATGGACATGCATTGATTACAGGACACTAGCCTCTAGAGACCTAATTTTATTTATTTATTTATCTATGTACTTATTTATTTATTTATTTATTTATTTATTTATATTGTTTGTTGAATTTACTGGGGTGACATTAGTTAATAAAATTCTACAGGTTTCAGGTGTATAGTTCTAAAATACATCATCCGTATTTGTACTGGGCGTGCACCGTCCCAAGTCAAATCTCCTCCCATCAGCATTTACCCTCCTCCCCCTCTTCTACCTCCTCCCACTCCCTCACTCTCTAATAACAGAGACCTCGCTTTAAATCACACCTTACAAATGTCCTCCCTGCTTCCGTTCAAACGAGTTGGTATAATCCTTGCTGTACATGCCCCATTCTTGCCAGGGCAAACAGATGGAAGGGAGAGACTATGCCAGAAAGAAGAAAGGGAAATGAAAACGACCTGGGAATAAAAATAAAGCCGCAAAATATAATCTGGGTCAACTCTTCATGCGTTTGAAAGTCAGCACCGGCAGGCTCTGCACATATGGTGTTAGGTTTATACTTCCCTTGGCTCAGATGTCACACAGGATTAGTGCAAAAAGGAAAAAATCCCAGCATGGGGCCCGTTTTTATACAGATTAATCAATCATTCCCCATTTCTTCCTCTCCCAGCATTCCCCAAACTTCAACTTAATAAAACTGCTCTCTTTTCAAAGCATGTCATGACTGCACTCTGAGCGGAAATCCTTTCAGGAAAGGAAAGAAGCTTCAAGTTTGAACCCAGATTTTTAATTGTCACATTTTTAATGTATTCTAAATATTAACTGACTTATGGTATGTGGCCTAGTCTTTTTTATCTTGCACATCCATTGTGGTATCCTACACACTTATCGTGTATGGCAGCAAAATTAATTGGCAAACCTTTCATTCGTTAAGTGCAGAGTGACTTAGCAACATCATATAGCCACACATTTGAAAAAAGAAAACTAATTGTATAAATTACATTTTGTTACCTACATTTTCATGGACATCGAATGCCATCATTTCTATCAGGATGCCAAGCACTTAGTTAGAAAGTTCTTGGAAAGTATTGGATAGGAAATTTGATAGGTTGAATGGAACCAAACCAAAACACTGTTCAAGCTACTTGGGACAGTCTCCCTTGACTACAGGCATTGTAAAATGATAATACATATAGGAATCATAATACAATAGCAGCTAATACTTATTGTATGCCAGGTGCCCTTACGTCATTGAATTTTCCAAGCGACTTTTGTCATGGGTCCTATCATTACTCCACTCTGAAGATGAGGAAACAGTTTGAGAGAGGAGTTCAGGTATTTTGAGGTTGAAAAAAGGTCCTTAATTACGTGAGTTTTCAGAGATAGACATATTGAGGAAGAGAAATGGGGCTGTGTAAATACTAAGGAGGTGAAAAACCTTGGGTTAAATGTCATCAACGTGGTATCCAGGTCTCCAAAACCATGATCTCTACAGAGTTTACCATGTACCCTTGTTCATCTGCTGGATGGAAATTATGTCTATAAAACATTAAGGCAAGGCAATGACCTAAAGCTTGACCCCAATGACAAAGTCAGAGTCAGAGCAGTCATCATAGGTACCAACAGGGTGGTAGCTTTTCACCATTTTAGGCAATTATAATTGAACCATGGCTAACAGTTGGAAAAGATGACAACACACTGGTTGTCCTTTGCCTAAATGGTCATGAGTACAGAAAATAAGAGACATTTACAACTTCACACAATACTCTTTTATAGGACCAAAATGAATCTCTCTTATACCAACAGAGTGCTTGGTTAGCTTTTTGTTTAGAGTTGCTAGATGCCAGCTACCTACTGTGCACAGTCTAAAAATCTAAATTTTACAGCATATTAAAGTTACTGAACTGGAGTTGGGGTTATCATATGTATAGTCTTTCTTTTGCTTCCACTATTAATTTTAACTCCACAGGCATTCATCATTGGCCCAGCAAATGAAAATCACTTTAAGATGACTCATGTGTTTTACAACATTGAAAACACAGCCCCTTAAACTCTTAAAATATATAGTGAAGAGGAAGTGAAAGATCAAATCAGTTAATGAAAGGAAAACTCTTCCACATCCCAGTTCCATGGGCACGAAGAGCTTCAGAATTCCTACCGGATGCCACCTGGGAGAAGTAAGTTAAAACCGGTCCAAGGGATGTGCTCTGCCTAATTCCCATGGTGAACTGGCTGTCATGGTCACACAAGCAGGCTCTCTCTAGATAATAAATACATCGTGTCTCAGTCTACACCGAGGCCCTCTGCAAACTCTGTGCAATGCCAATTAGCCTTCACCGTGGCTGTGTCATCTATTCCTGGCACACCACAGGGCAAGGCGAGCTCTGCATTTACAAATTCAACAGGCAATACTCAGAGCTAGAAGAGCGTGCTAATATGACAGCATTCGTGGTCATTGTTTTTTGTTTGTTTGTTTGTTTTTTGCTTCAGGTCATACAAAAAGACTCACCTATGACAAGGGCTACTGAGAACAATATAAGTGTGTATTTTTAATAGCTTACAGTAATAGACTCTGCATTCAGAATCTGTGAAAGGCAGAGCTGAACATTTGTTTTTAGACTACAATTTTAGTCTACCACACTAACTTTGCGTGCACGCGCGCGCGCACACACACACACACACACACACACACACACGTACACAAAGAGCATATCCTCTGTGACTAATACTACTTACTCAGAAGGTAAGCTCCGTAGACTTTCATGGCAAACACCGCCTCTGCACACAGCCTTCCACCACAGGCTGGGGTGTGTCTTGTGCAGAAATACAGTGTGTGCAGCTCATCCCTGAGCTGAGTACAGTCTCGGAGTACGGTATCCATGGAGACCGAGCCTCCTACATGAGCAGGGCAAAGAAGTTCCTCTGCTTGGGCACCATAGCAACAGGAGGCAGAGGGAATGCCAGCCAATCAGGGAAGAGCATGGGAGCTTCTCCCCGGCGACTGCAGCATTTCAAATGAAACCATCGCCTCATGAATGGACACAAAGCATTTAAAGAAACCCCAGATTGTCGAAGAGAAGGGAATGCCCACACAATGCTCCGACCATGTTGAAGCCGGACACGTAAGCGTCGTTGTACAACGGTGATTCTATCCCAGGGGGCAAGGGAGAAATTACATCTACACCCCACACATTTCCTAAATGGAATGGCAAGCTGGCAAGGAGGCTTTGAGGCACAGGCTTGGTGTGCCCCATGGACTCCAGCTATTTAACTATGCAAGGCACTTCCCAGTGCTGCCCGGGAGAGGGGAGCAGGAGAGGGCCACCGGGCCCAAGGGAGAAACCAGAATTGAGGGCACTCTGCAGTAACGGTTGGCACATTCCTTCCCAATAGGTTGCTTGGAGTAAACACATTTATTAGGCTTCCACCAAAGCCCTCCGTTTCGTCAGAATAATTCATAAGGAGGTATATCCCTGACAAAACAGGGCTGATGCAGACAAGATGGTGAATGGACATTCAAACGCCTTCAAGACATGCTCTTTGGAAACATGCCTCATCTCTCATGTTTGGAAACATGCCTCATCTCTCATGTTCATGACAGGAATGACAGCGCTCATTTGTTGAGCACGTACTGTAGACTGGGTAAATACTTTCTCCCCAAACCCAGCTTCCTGCCACATGCTGACACTGAGTTTTGCAGAACCTACAGGATGACTGTAGCCTGCTATATACCACACATGATTCTCACAGCAACCTCAAAAGGCTGAGTTATTAATTATTCCTCCATATTATAAAGAAAAAAAAAATGTTTCTTTTGTTACAAAAGAAACCCTCCCACCCGTGAATTCCTCTCAGCCCGCGGCTCTGCAGGCGACCTGGTTCACCCTATTCCAGGTCTAAATAGAAGGTGAGGTTACCCTCTGCCCACAGTTCCCTCCCAGAAAAGAAACCCCTTCGTGCTAGTGTCTTTCCAAAGCCTCTTATTATAGAGGTCTCGCTAGAATTACCTTCTTTGAACAGAAAGTCCCCATTTGAAAAAAAGACTCATCCATCTGAACTGACCTCCATCAGGGCTCACCTAGGCTGCCTTCAGAGGTCAACTGCCAAGGCTGTGTAATGTGAAGGGGGGCAAGAAACTGAAAGACAGGTGTTTAATTATTCCTGTGGTCCAACTCCTCCAGCCTTAGCAATACAGTCCATGGCTAAGTTGTAGAGATCACAGTAACTCACATCCCTGGCTAACTGAGCTCAGGAACAGAACGGCTTTGGGTCCTGAGGACACTCAGATACATCTATAGGAAAACAGCAAAACCCACCATCTCCAAGCTATACATGGATGCTGTGACAACCTGCCTCTTGTCCTCCAATGTCTGTCTCCATGCCCTCCTTCTTCCATAATAACAGGTGACCAAGATGTCCTGGGATATCATTAAAAATGACACATGCCATTCTGCGTCCTGGGTGAGGGGTCCTTCCCCCTCTTCCTTCCTCCTAGTAGATGACAGTCAATGACACAGCTGCCTACAAGCCAGGGGTTACTATATACCTATCTGTATGTGCTGTTTTACAGGAGATAAATGAGCTTCGTTTACCTTTAACACCTGTATTTTGTGTGGGCCTCTTTTTATAGTAACTGAACTCATGTCCTCATAGGACTTATCTTGGAAAATAGGCACCAGACTATGGATTCAGAACAGCTGTCTGTCACACAATCTGATTGGAAGTGAAGGTGATTTGCTCTGGCAAAGACAGAGAAATTGAAAAGTAGCTTCTAGGAATGAGAAAGATAGAATAACGTTTTTAAAAATTAACTATGTTGAACAAAGTCAATGTCTTAAAATTAATAATAGAGTATAAATATGTTAAAAAAAAAAAAAAAAAAAGCCGACCAGACATTGACTATTTCTTCCATATCTCTAAAGGCTTACTCAAGTTAGCAAATAAATTGAACAGTTTTTTTTTTTTTAATCTCATTAGGAAAATGGAGGACTTTATATTCTGTCACTCACATTTATATTCATAACCCTACTCTAAGTTGGTAGGTTTACAGCTGTGAGTACACAACACGCAGAGTTTATTCTTGTATTATCATTTATTCATTATTGTAATATTTCCATGCAAATGACTGTAAACCTACTTTTGCCTCAACCTGTACTTTTTTCTCTCTAGTCTCACAGCCTGCTTTCTAAGCCATCTAAATTTAGTGTACTTGCTTCCAGTTTCATCGCTTCATAATCCAAGCTCCAGAGTAGCCAGAAGGATCCAACACGTGTAACTTAAATTGTGTCTCTCTTCTTAAAGCCCTCCAATGGCCCTAGTGGATAGAGCATCAGCCTGCAAACGGAAGGGTCCCAGGTTTGATTCTGGCCAAGGGCACATGCCTGGGTTGCAGGCCAGATACCCAGTAGAAGGTTTGTAGGAAGCAGCCGAACAATAATTCTCTCTCATCATTGATGTTTCTATCTCTCTCTCCTTCTCCCTTCCTCTCTGAAATCAATAAAGAAATATATATTTTTTAAAAACCTTCCAATGCCTTCCCATTACTCTAACAAAACAGACCTCACCTGCCAGCATCCTTCACTTCCTAACTCATTGTTCCACCCCCACCCCTAACTCTCCCTGCCCCCTCCCAACTCTCCCTAACTGTGAAGGATTATGGCTAAGCTCTCAGCTCAAAGGTCATCTCCCCAGACACTTCTGTGCCCTCTCCCCAGTCACTGTCATCATAGCATGGCCTTGTTTTACTGTCACTATCTGGACTCATCTGGTTTGTCTGCTTGTGTGTCAGCCATCTCCCGTGTTAAAGGCAGCTCAACTTGCCTGTTTTCTCACTCCTCTACACTTCATGCCTGGGACAATGGTGTCAGCACGGAATGAATGCTTAATACCTATTTGTTGAACGAATGAATGCCAGCCAGTCAATGCACAGCTGGGATTCAAACCTGGCTTTAGCAGAAATCTTATATGTGGTGAAGTAAGAGGTTTATATTTCCTTTAGAAATAGAAGGTCTTCCTTAGACTCTTACATGGGGATCTCCTTCCTGCAATGCCACAAACATTCCAAACGCTGCATCTGAGAACAGAAGGCTACTGAAGCCAGGCTCCTGAGTGTGATGGCCTTTAACCACAACTGGCATCCACGTAGCTACGAAGAAGACCGAGGGATCCGGGTAATTATCCTGCTAGCTCCTTCCCTGCCAGGGAAAGGGCACAGTCTGCTCCCACACACAGCCTGGGAATTCTCTGTCCGGGTTCTGGGGTACCTCAGCCCTCCCCCCGCCCCTGAATGGTGTGGAATGGCTCCGAGCTGTTGCCGGGTATTTCACCGTCCCTTGTGGGATCTCCTTAATGGGGCCTCTGCCTTTACAATAAACTCTCCTCCTCACTAAAGGAAAAGATCATAACGCTGCCTGACTTACAGCTCTGGGTTGGTGAGTCTGTGTGTGTGAAGGACGTTTCCAGGTTTATTTCTCTTGTCAGCAGTGGGTGTGTGGTCTGCTGGAGCATCTGCTCTGCACAACAGGCTGTAGCGCTTCGCTCTCTACATGTTAGAGCCCGTGGTGAGCACTTGGCAGGCGCCCAAATCAGTGGCTAGAACACTGGACATGCAATAAATCCCTAGTGAGCCAGCCTTTGGGGAGAAGAGGATTATAACTGGCGAATTCTTTGGGGGAAACCACTAACGGACCACTGGGCAGCATTACATTAACTGGGGGCATCATCAAAAGCACAGATGAGGCAAGGCATGGGAGCGAATATGTAACCCCGCCCTAAACACAAACACGATGTCCACTCATCACCGTGCAGCTTGGTTTCACTGCTCTGGTGGAAGAAGCCACAGACGTTACAATCGTCCACCACAGAACAGTCTCCGCTGTATTCACGGTGAATGACGGTTCCAGAGGTCCATTTCAGCATCAGTGTACTAGGAAAGCTCTTGCCTGAGTTGAGAAGGTCTAAGGATCTTCGCTTACGTGACAGGCAGGCGGCGCATACACATTTGGACAAGTGGAGCGAGGACCAGTTCGCAATTATGTGGAAAACGCTGAAGACCTTAACATTCCCTTGATGTTCACATCCTCATGGTGCCTTGTACTAAACTGCATCCAAACGGCCTTATGTGTTTCACTGAAGTTACACTAACGTTCATTGATTTTGTTATCAGCAACAGCCAGCAGAATCTACACATAGACCATATCAGCGAATTTATGAAAGTTAATTAAGACTTGTTAGGGCTGTACACACATGAGAGAGAAATAATTTCTGTCTTAGAGCCACACATCTTTTTTTTTCGATTATCACACTCCTCGACTGCAACCAAAACCAATCCTTTGAAAGCAGATCTTACTGCTTACTGCCAGTGCAGTGGATAGGTGTTAGGAGCAAACTTACTCTGTCTAAAATCCATTTACGAGCTGTGTGACCTTGGGTGCATTACTTAACCTCTCTGTGCCTCCTTTTCCTCATTTGTAAAACAGGAGACCAGATTTCCCTTTTTAGCACTGACATTAAGGTAAAACGAGTTAAGTGCTCAGATTTTAGCCTGGGACAGTCAGTGCTCAATAAACATTAGCTAAAAAGGTGTTTTAAATCCAATTTCACTGTTACCCAAGCCCACAATTACATGCTCTCCCAGATATTTCCGTCAGTCTCCAGAATAGGTGCCAGTCTTTATTTGAGGCTGGGCCGAGATGCTGCAACCCCTTAGACTGTACAATAGCTATAAGCTATTAGAAAAGTACTGCTTGCCAAGAGGGCTGAAAGTTTCCATAGAACCAAAACCTTCTGTTTTGGGCACTAAAGGTCTAGTTTTTTTGTACTCTATGGAAATATTTCTCAAATGCTTCAGACCTTTCTCTGCCCCCAAACACATCACTTACTGCCAATTCCACCAC